CACCACCCCTGGATGATCGCTACAGGAGTCCCTAATCACTTCAGAAATGTCACTTCATCAGCTACAATGTCAGATATAGGGGATGTCGTGCATGGAGAATCCTCCGCCTTGTCAGACAAATCTATTTCACCCAATCTTGTAACTCCATTTTCCAAGAGCTCCACTTTACAAAGAGTCGATATTGTTACTGAAAAACCGACTTATTTTCCAGATGTATTTGAAGAGATAGACAATACACTGCTCTGGAAAGTAACAACAATAAGCTCATTACGCATAGCAAACGAAGACTTGTCAAAGGTTGATACGGGGGGCTTAGATTATAAGAAAAATTTAAACACTGAATTTGATCCCATCATGACAACAGCGGCTCCGAGCCACAAAAAACAAACATCACATGGTACACTAACGGAAGTGAACCCTTTGCATTCTTTTGTCTCCAATTTACCAGCCACCAACCACCATGAAATGACAAGACCTTTTCAGAGTCAGCAACCAGTGGCACAGAAAACTCTTTCTCGACCCCAAGTTTCAGTGGAAACAAACCCCCATAGCAGTAGCTGGGGGTTACTAAAAGTCTCAGGTAGAAATATACATTTATATTTCATTCTGTGCACTTTTTTTCGATAATTAACATTTAAAATGTTTCCATGCTAGATTTACATCAGGCCATTACAGTAGTTGTACCATCTAGTACAGCATATCAAAACTTGGTCTAAGAATCTCAAGTTAGTTTTTTAGACTTGTACTATTCTTCACATTATTATTAGATTTATAAGTCATTACCACTATTTTCTAGAAAAAATAAAATCATGTTACTAGTTCTTGTATCAGAAATCTTGCTCCCCTCCCCCCAAGTTTCTAAATTTGACATTCCTTGAAATATATTTTTCAAGCTGATGTACCTGTCCTTTGTCCAGTTTATGAAATGTGAGACGGATGCTACGATAAATAACACAAAAACCCAACTTTCACACAATATATTTATAAAATAACATATTATTCATTATTACCTCACCCAAAGTTTTGTGTAAGCTTTAAGAACTCATTATGTATATACTTAAAACATGATATACACTGTGCGATGGTCAAGGTGACCATTGCACAGTGTACGAAGAGGTTGCGGCCAAAGTAGTGGCGGTGCTTTCTGTTACCCGCTTTGGCTCTTAATATCCTTCCACACTGTTTCACGTTATTATTTAATTGACGGTCGCTGGCTGCAGAAGTATCTTACGAGCCGAAGTTGAAAGGTTACGGGTCAAAGTAGGAAGTGGGTATAACTCAAAAAATCGCATCAGCGTTATGGTGGATGTTTGAGTAAGAATTCCATCAGAGTTTATGTATTATTGCAATAGTGGCGGCCATTTTTTTTCATTCCATTCCTCCATAGGGAATGCTAGCGCACTCTCCGATATATACAAGACGTTTGTGTGCCCTCCACCCACACTGTTTTTGGTGTGTTATATAAGGTTTAAGTTTTATTTTTTGTTTGGCTCAAAAATGTGGCGCCATTTATATATGTAGTTAATGTTAACTCATGTTAAAGTTAATAAATGCTCAATAACGAGAGGTGCCCCTTGTTCCAAACTATTATCTCGCAAAGTTTGGTGGAGATTGGCCCAGCGACCTAGGAATAGTTAGATAACGGACAGACAGACATATTCTTGGGCTTTATATATATATGGTGATAATGATAACTTTTATTTTGAATGTTCTATATTTTAAATGATTTTGTAACTTTTAATATTAATTTCTCCTTAGGGTGCAATATTTACGGAAAATTTTACAATGTCAACGAAAATCTGAAGGAACTAGGGGGACCATGCAAAAAGTGCATTTGTACAGACTCTGGAGTCGAATGCAATATCACCTGCTAAGAACAAATGGATTGTGCTGCCATCTACTGTTATAAATGTAACATTTTTAAATGTACATCTTTGATTTTTAGAATTACAAAACTCAATCGTTGAAGCAGTAAAAAAGTAAGGCTATTACGTAGATTAGCTGAAATACAAATACTTAATGTCAAATTGTTTACTTCAGCTATTAACAAGATATTTTTAATACGTTCATTTATGGCTAAGAACATATATTTTTTATATAACATCACTATTATTTGCAAGTAGAAAATTAAAAACATTCGTAACGAAGCCTCGATTTTTTAGTGTCATCAAAACTGACACTTCCTTTTTTCTTTAAACATTTCTCTTTGGTTCTCGTCACTAATAGAATTTATGTTGGTGTGAATGTTGTCTTTATTCAACTGACTTTGTGAGATCAGCTACAGAAATAGTTTTAACCAGGGTTCATATTCCAGATTAGTTTTGTTGAATGGAGACCATCATTGCAGTTGGTGTTGGTAGGGATTTCATTGAAATAATTGTTTCCTTGAGTCAGAGATTTTCATTACTGCATACGTGTATATATATACATATATCTGAAATGTGATATTTGATTTTAATTTATCGTGTGTTAATCATATTTATCTTCAACAGGGGCTATTTGTTACTTTTTTTGTCAGTATTACACATGAATTTAGCGTTTGTATAACCCAACTCAAACAAACTTTGGGTCTTTCACATGTAAAAAATTTTAAATTAAAATGACTGGTTACTTTCATCATGGTGATTGTTAACTTTTAATTCATTACAATTTTTACCTAAGGTAATTTAAAAAACTTACACTAATTGATATATATCTATACACACACACACACACACACACTAATGGTGAAATAGTATAAAGAAAATTATATCAAATCACACAGAGCCTCAGCATTTACCCCAATCCCCTTACATCACATGACCTCAGCATTCTTCCCTATCCCCTACTCTACACAATTTCAACATTCTTCGCAATCCCCTACTCTACACAATTTCAACATTCTTCACAATCCCTTACTCTACACAATTTCAACATTCTTTCCAATCCCTTACTCTACACAATTTCAACATTCTTTCCAATCCCTTACTCTACACAATTTCAACATTCTT